TACTTTTGTCATGATGGGAGTCCAGAGCGAAGGCTGCGTAGTGGAATGGACGTGGGGGAGAGTCTGTAAAACAATGAAAGAGTTTGTCTTTTATTTTTCCAAGAGAGTAGTGTACTGGGGGAGAGGGCTGGGAGGGGAGGAAAGTGCAACAATGAATGAATGGAAATCCAAAGTCTTTGTAAATTTTCATTGAAATGAATAATAAATTAAAATATAAATTTTATTTTGCACATATGTAAGAATGATCTCCCTATAAGAATAAAGAACAAAGAACTATTTGAGGAAAAAAAAGAAAATGACAATCACAGTAATTCATTAGCATAGTTAGAAAAATCAATTAAAATAACAGCGCAGCTTGAAGAAGAAGAAAACCAGAAACCCGGGATAGGGTGGCAGAGACGGGTCAGGGATCAGAGGGCCTGGGAGTGCATTTCAACTCTGCTCAAAGACAGTATTGTCAGGTTGAGATTTCGGAAATCTGGAAATTTGGAAACATAAAGAGGTGCATCTACAATACACCAGAAAGAAAACAAATAAAAGATGAAGATGCAGTTCGAGCAGGTGTTCTAACAGGACCAAATCAATTCTAAGGCAAGAAGCATCACTAGCGGTAAAAAGGGAATTGACTGCTGACAAAAAGCTTGGTTCCGTGGGAAGATACAACAGCCTCAAAACTCCAAAAGCCAAAACTCACCACCCTCTCGTCAGTACCCCTCGTAGTGACCCTTGATCAGGAAAGGAGACTGCCCAGCGGCATCCCTCCAGTGAGTGGTGGACGCAGCACGATATCCCACAAACCTCAAAGGGCATGTATGGACATTTCTCTGAGCAGGATGTTAAGATGGCAAATAGCTCATTGCTGTCAAGTTGAAACCGACTACTGACCCTCCTGCAGGTTTCTGAGGCCGTAAATCCCACAGGAAGGGACAGCCCATGATCCTTCCATGGAATCTGAACCACCAGAGAGATGTGTGCTTTGGCTTGGCTACACAGCCCTCTGGAGATCACACATCCAGTGTCCCCTCAGTGGGGAAGACAGAGAAGATGTTCATCGTGATTAACTACTTGAAAAATGAAAATTAAAACTTCAGTGAAATGCCATTACACTCACATCAGAATGAGTGAAATGAAAAGTAGTCCTGACACCAAATGCTGGTGAGGACGCAGGGCAATGGACACTCAGACGTTGTGGGGGTGTCACATGGTCGGGGGAAGAACGTGGTACTCCTTTCCGAAGGAAAATGGGCTCGCTGTGCAGCTCAGCTGCGGTCCTCAGCTGACACGTCCCTGAGGGCTACACCCACGCAGGAGCACAGGCCCGAACCAGATGTCTTAGTAATGGGTGGGCATGTCCCTCAGAAACAAAAGCTGTGAGACTTCCCCAGAACTCTGAGGCCATGCCAACGTTGTGGAGTCTACCAGGGAAACAGGAAGTTCTAGTTCAAGTTCAAGAGCACTGGGGATGCAGCTCTTGAACGTGGACAGCCTCTCCTCCCCCATACTCAAGGCCTGTTCTCTCTGCCCGGCTCCAGTGTTACAATCTCTTCTATCCTCCAGTCCCCTCCCTGCCTCCAGGCACGCAGCTGCCTCACTCCAGATGGCCACGGGGCTATCTCCTGCCACTATCCTGGATGTGCTGTTTCCTGGTCATCTAATCTCCCTTTCTCTGGTATCAGAATGCTCTCTGCTATTGACTCTCCCACTTGTAAGATCTCCTTTCACCATCTGGAGGACTGATTTTAGGCTGTTATGTCTTTGAGCTGTGGTGATGGAAAAGAGTACTGAACACCCCACGGACCGCCAAAAGAACAAATCCTGAAAAGGGTGCTGCTGGAGTGTTCTTTGCAGGTAAAGGTGACAAAGCTCCATCTCAACACTTTGGTCATGTTGCTAGGAGCGGCTGTTCCTTGGAGACGGACGTCATGTTGGGAAGGTGGAGGGTCGGCGAAGGAGAGGAAGACCCTCAACCAGGTGCATTGGCACAGTGACTGCAGCAAAGAGCTCAAGTCCTTTCAAAGATTGTGATGTTAGCACGGCTAGGACAGGAGTAAAATCTTCAAATCCCATTTCTTGTCAGCAAATGCATGGCCCCAATACCGGCAATGAGGTGGTCCAGCCAGCATACCAACTGAAGGAATGCAGACAGAGCCCTCTTCAGTGGATCTGCCATTTTCTAGGGAAGCTGGGAGCGGAGCTCTGGTGCTCTGGTGAGAAGCTGCGCTGCAATCCCAAAAGTGCACAGTTTGAATCCACTAGCAGTCCATGACATGGGTGGTCAGTCTCCTTCTGTGTGATTCTCTGCCTCTGAAACCTGATGGAGGTTCAGCGATGGGTTGGGTTTGACTCAAGTACACACACGACAGAGGAAGCTGAATGTAGCATAGGCACCCACCCATCTCCATTGAGTGAGGTGGTCCCGACTCCGATTGTGGTGATAGGCTAGGAAGAACGGCCTCATCCTGTGAAAGGACGCTGTCCCTGTCCCCTTACAGAGGCCTGTGGCGCAACTGCTGACACGCTTATGTCTTGCACAATGGCTCTGCTGTCACAACGAAGCCCAGAAAAATGGTTGCAAGTGAGCTGATGTTCACAGGAGATGCTCACCACCCAGGACCATGGGGAAGTGGGGTGCACTCTCCACTCAGGTGGCAGAAGCCAGGTGCACAGGAACCACAGGGCAGAGATCCCTGAAGGTACAACGCGAGGGAAAGAAGCATGTGACACACCACCGTGTGCATTGTAGTACTGAAAGCCAGAGACACAAAACAAGATGTTGTTTCAAATCTAACTAGACGGGTAAAAGAACACAAGAAAAGGAGGAGGTGAGCCGGAGGAATGGTGGGATAGAAAACCAGAGTGCTCTAAAACTTCACTCAAAACACAGGTAAAGTTGTTCTAAAAAGGCAAAGTGGTGGCAAGCCCAGAATTCCAGATAGCAGGCAGAGTGGAAAGGACAGGGTTACCTGGTGGTCTCCAACCGAATCAGCACAGGCCCTTCTCTGGCAGTGCGTGTGGGTGTGGCCCTCCGTGAGGATACCACGGTGAGGTTCCATGATGGCTGACAGCTGTGGGAGCCCTGTGGGGCCGTTGTGTGTGCCCCTGGGTCGTTTTGGGTATGCAAGGACAGGACCACAGGGCTCTGATCTTTGAGAGCCGCTGTCCCGCCCCGCCTGCTCCCTTGGGCGTCTGATACAGCTCACCAGGAATGCATCAGAGCGCCTTTGCCAAGTGGGCCCTTCCCATGAGCGGGTGGGCCTTGCTGCTCCCAAGTGACCCCTGCTTGGCGCCTAGCTCGCTGGCTTGTGTTGGGTTCAGCTCTGTTCCTTCACACTGGCTGTTGCCCCCTCTCCACCCTGCCTTCCTCTTTTGCAGGGGCAGCCCCTGGCCTCTGCGCCCTGCTCCCTACCCGGTCCTGGAAGCCTGGCAGCTCCCCACCCCCCCACCCCGACATGAGCAGCTCTCAGTCTGGGGACAGACAGACCACCTGCTGGGGAGTCTCAGGTCAGCAAGCGGGAGGTGACCTGGGCCCTCCCTCACACTGGAAGCCTTTGTCCTTTCCACCCTGACTGGGGCCTGTTCTCTTGCGTGCTTCCTGCTTCCCATGGAAGGGCCCTGGGGTAGGGGGGACTGCTGACGGGAACTGGGTTCGCCCAGCGCAGTCACGCCTGGCCACACATACACACACACACACATATGCGCACACACAGCCGCTCCCACCACCCTCAGCTTCACGCTGGGCTCTCACGAGCTAGAAGACAGGATCACTTGGGTCTCCTACCCCTGCTGCAGGCCCAGCTGGAAGAAAGACTCCTTTTCTCGGATTCTGACACCAGACCCTCAACCCGGGCAGCAGTCCCAGGCCCATTGTCTCTGGCGGGTGCAGGCGCCCGGGTGTGGCCTGAGCTGTGGTCCCCATCAAAGGCCCTTTCTGCACTCATGCTCCCACCCCAGCGGTGCCACTCCCTGGTGGTCTTGCCACATGGCTTCCTGATGGCGAATCCTTTGTGCTGGAATTTTCATCTTACCACATAGGCGGGGTGCGGGGCACTTGGTGGCATGCAAGGCCTGTCTGGGACCAAAGCAGAAGGCAGATGTGTGGAGGATGGGGCCAGTTGAGGCCCTATGGCCCTGCAGGAGCATCAAGAGACCTGGGCTGGGCACCTCAGCCTCTGATGTTCTTGGCCTGGCCTTCTCACCCTCCCCTGCTCTCTACTCATTTGAGGTCTCCTTAGTCATGGCCTCTGACCACAGTGGGCACCCTGAAGTGTCCTCCAAACTTGCAGGCCCTGTACTGTAGTGGTGGTCCCTACCCAGAAACTGTCTGGCGAGGGCAGCCCAGTCCACACCTGGGGGGCTCTGAGCTCGGGGTATCTGGGGGTGGGGGGCTCATCTCGGTGTACCTGTGCCTTAAGCAGTGCAGCCACCTCCCCATTCCTACCGTGCAGCTCAGGGCAGGGAGGAAGTGGGGTCTCAGGGCTAAGTGCGTGGCCCCTAGCCCTCACTCCTCCTTAGTCCCCAGTCCAGATTCCACGTGGCCGCCGGTCCTCTCAGGATCTGACCTGGGTGAGCCGATGCTTGAACCAGCCCACTTGCCCCTGCTGCTCCGCCCTTTCTCCTCCTCCAGGCAGCAGTCAATCCCTGCCTCCAGGCTAAATGCTGCGCCCCAGCCCCATGGAGGAGCCTGGGATCCCTGCTCTGGCAGACACTGGCAGGAAACATGGGGTCAGAGGAGCAGGTGAGGGGACGAGGTTCCAGGTGAAGGAGAGCGGGCGCTGGGCCCTGGGAGGTTTGGGCCATGACTCAGCGGGTCGTGTCCCACACCTGGTTTGCTGGCTCCGGGCCTGGGCCGGCTGCGGGGGACGCGGAGAGACGGCCGGGGGCGGGGCCTGGCCGCCGGCGGGAGGAGCCTCCAGCCGAAGGAACAAACTCCGCGGGCCGCCGAGGCCTCCCGGCACCTCGCCTCCAGCTGTCACCCGGCCTCGAGGTCCCGCGCGCTCCTCATGGCCCAGAAGGCGCTGTCGCTCCTGCCGCTGCTGCTGCTGACCGCGGCAGGTCTCGTGGGCCTGCTACTGCTCTGTATCCACACCCGGGACGTGCGGGAGCCGCCGGGCCTCAAGGTGCGTGCATGGGCCCCGCGCGCGTCGCTCGACAGGGGACCGTGCCCGCCGGCGGCCTGCGAGCCCCGCGCTGCGCTCCCACCGGGGGCCGCAGGGCAGCGCGCAGCGGAGATGCTTTCAAGCGTCCTGGGCGGGAGGCCCAAGTCCCGGGAACTCCCGGTCCCGGCTCCCGCGGCGGAGCTCGGTGCGGGGCGGGGAGAGAGGCTGTCTCCCGCGGGCGCCCGAGACAGCTGAGCGGCGCTGCGGGCCCCAAAACCCTGGCCGCAGTCCAGCTGGGAGCCCCGAACTGTCGCCGCCCGGGAGCGCACCCTTCGGACCCCAGATGGGCCCTAACAGGCACGTGGTTAGCGACCCCGAAGCTGAGACAGCGCAGGGGGGGCCTGGGCCCACCCGAGGGGATGGGGGCTCACTTGGGGTCTGGCCCCCCCCACCCCGGCCCAGCGCCCAGGAGATGGTTGGATCCCTTGAGTCCCTTACCCGACTTCCACGGGCCGCTGGAGGAGTGGGCCGGGTGTGGGCGGAGGAGGGGTCCGAGCTTCCGCAGCTGCGCTCAGCCGTGTGCAGGACTGGGCGCTGGACATGGGGCTGCTGCCCGGCGGGCTCTGCGGACCCCGGGGAGGCCCTTTCTCCCAGGCTTGAATTGGCGCCAGAGTCAGGAGGGCGTGGTCTCGGCCCCGATGTTCTCAGTGGAATTCTGGCCCAGGGGGCAGGTGCCGCGCGAAGGCTCGGTGAGAAGGGTACCGGCTTGGCGGGGCTGTGAGAGGCTGTGGCCAACGCTGCCCCCACTCGGGCCTCACACCCCTGACCCATCTCTGTTCGGAGGCCCTGGGAGAGGCAACTTCAGGCCAAAACAGAGGCGCTGGCTGCTCACACCCGGCCTCCCAGGCTCTGTCTCTTAGAGAGCTTCCGCATCTGAGAGTTGGGCTGAGGTCAAAGCTCAACATAGGGCAGGAAGATCCTCGGCTGGGGCTCCCCATGAACACCCCGTTCCGCGCCCAGCTCCCACCACCAGGGGTGGCCCGGACAGTGCTCCAAGTATGGCCCTGACGTCCCTTGGGAGGACCCCGTCGCGTTGCCATTTGGGAAAGCTGTAGTCAGGCTGGCCCCCAGGACACTCCTGTGCTCTGGCTTCCGCCAGCTACTCTCCATGCTCCCCAGCGCCGAGCTGTGTCTGGGAGGTTCCTTCGTGTCTCTTCTTCTTCGAGCCTCAGTTTGCACCTCTGTGAAGAGGGAATTTCGATCTGAAGTTTCTGCTTCCTCAGGGTGGGGTGGAGGCAGGAGCCTGAGGAGCCCTGGGCCCCCATGGCTCACCTGCCTGCCCTGGCCCCCAGTATGGCATTGTCCTAGATGCTGGCTCTTCGCACACGTCCATGTTTGTCTACAAGTGGCCAGCAGACAAGGAGAATGACACTGGCATCGTGGGTCAGCACAGTCACTGTGATGTGAAAGGTAAGGGTCCCCGAGACCAGTGCCTGCCCTCCCCCCAGACACTCACTTCTGGTGGAGCCTCTGGGGCCTCCAGGGCTCAACCTGGTAGACCTCGGAGCCCAGGCCCTTTTGCTCATTGCCAAGATCAAACCCAAATCCCAGAAGGCGCATTTGAGCCCCAGGGCAAGAGAGGGGCTGCGGACCACTGGTACACTGAGAGTCCAGGCTGCAAGGTTTGGCCTGTCCCCTGTGACCAGACCACTCTCTCCTTCCGGAACCCAGCCTGGAGGAGCCTGCAGGCAGGTTGAGATCTCTCAGGCTCAGGGCTGGCCCAGGCTTTGTCCTGGCACCTGGACCCACACCCACTGGGCAGGCGGCAGCCTCAGAGGCCCTGGGTGCACCTGAACCCTTTGTCTTTGAACTAGTGTCTTAGAAGATTTAAGCAGTGAAGGTATGACTCAGATGGCACTTGGTTTGGGAGCCCAAGACTCCCGCCCAGCCTCATAGACATGGCCCGTCTCTGTCCCTCTAGGGGGAGGCATCTCCAGCTTCGCAGACAACCCCCCTGGAGCTGGCCTGAGCCTGTTGCAGTGCTTGGAGCAGGCCCTTCGGGACGTGCCTAAGGAGAGACACACAGGCACGCCCTTGTACCTGGGAGCCACAGCGGGCATGCGGCTGCTGGAGTGAGTGTGCCCAGCCCCCACCAGGCAGCCTGGCAGCGCGGCTTTGCGCACCCCCAGCTGCCTGGCTGGGGTCCCTCAGCTGGGCAGAGCAGCGCATCCAGCACGGGACTAGGGCCACTTGCAGAGGTGGCAGCTCAGTGTCCCTTCCCACAGGCTGACCAGTCCCCAGGCCTCAGCCAAGGTGCTGGCGGCAGTGAGACAGACGCTGAGAAAATACCCCTTCGACTTCCGTGGAGCCCACATCCTCTCAGGCCAGGACGAGGGGGTGTTCGGCTGGGTGACTGTCAACTACCTGCTGGAGAACTTCATCAAGGTGGGTTAGGAGAGGGGCCTCGAGCTGCAGGCTGTGGGCATCCACTCAGTCGGCTGACTCATCTTCCTGTCCCACAGTACAACTGGGTGGGCCAGTGGCTACATCCTGGGAAGGTGACTCTGGGGGCCATGGACCTGGGAGGTGCCTCCACTCAGATCACCTTTGAGACTGACAGAACAGTGGAAGATCCAGCCAATTCGGTTCAGCTGCAGCTCTACGGCCAGCGTTACCACGTCTACACCCAGAGCTTCCTCTGCTATGGCCTCAACCAGGTCCTCTGGAGGCTGCTGGCCAGAGTCCTCCAGGTGCAGTCCTCCCTTCCTGCTCCCTCCGGCTGCAGAGCTGGGCGCTCTAGGGAGCCCCGCGTGGGGGCAGGTAGGCCTGTGGGTGCCGGGCTGGATCCAGAGGGGCGAGAGTGCACAGCTTGAGGTTTCGACCTTTGTTCAGAAGGCAGTAGGGAGCTATGGCTAGTTCATGAGCACAGAGGTGGCATCTCAGCACAGGATTTGTGTGACATTTGCCCAGCTCCTTCTGGGGGGACCCTCCTGGGGTTTGAAGGTGGGCAGTGCTTTGAAGAGGGTGAGACCACCTGCACTCTTCCCATCCCAGACCACCCCTAGCATCCACCCCTGCTGGCCAAGGGGCTACGTCACCGAGGTGCGCCTCCAGGACGTGTACGGGTCCCCGTGCACAGCAGCCCAGAGGCCCCAGAGCTTTAACAACAGCGCCAGCGTCAGCATTCAGGGCGGCAGTAACCCTGTCCTCTGCCGAAACCTTGTCGCTGGCCTCTTTAACTTCTCTTCCTGCCACTTCTCCCGCTGCTCCTTCAATGGTATCTTCCAGCCACCTGTCACGGGAGAGTTTATCGTAAGTCCAGGCAGTGGGGGAAAGGGTGGCCCGAAGGGCCTGGTACTGCCCACTATGCTTGCCTCCCTGGCTCCATAGCCAAGACCCTGTCACGGTGCTAGTGGATGGGAAGGGAGGAGGAAGATGGGGGGTGGTGCCAGGGGAGGAGGGAACTGGAAGGGGAGAGATGCCCTGAAGTGCCTGGGACTGCTGTGACCACCTCCCTGGTCCTACTGTTTTTATCTTATGCCATTGAGTTGGAACTGACCCATAGCTGACCCCTCCAGTGGGTTTTCAGAGGCTGGAAAAACAGAAGGAAAAATGCCCACCTTTCTCTCACAGAGCAGCTTGAGGATTCAAACTGTCTGCCTTTGGATTGGCAAAACAACTACTTATCCCTAAGCTGCCAGAGCTCCTCCTGAGAACATAGCTAGCAGCTTTATTGAGGTCAGGGTGGATGGGCGAGAGGTGCCCTGAAGCATCTGGGGCCACCCTCCTCCCTCGCAGGCCTTCTCAGCTTTCTTCCACATCACGGACTTCTTAAAGATGGTTATGAGGACTCCCATTACAACCCTGAAGCAGCTGGAGGAGGCCACGGTGGTCATCTGTAACCAGGACTGGAAGGAGGTGAGGCTACACTGCAGGGAGCTGTCCAGCCACTCAGAAGCCTCAGTGGGCTGTGGGAAAAGGAGAGATCTGGGGGGAGAGTGTCATGGGGGCCAGAGCACCATGGAGGGAGGAGGGATCTGAAGAGAGGGCCGTGGGGGAGGAGGATGTGAGCCAGGTAACCATGGAGCTGTGGAAGCTTCTCCTAGGTTTGAGCCAGGATGTGGTGGACGTAGGGTAAGCCCCCAGGTGGAGGTGCATGAAGAGGACAGGCTGAGAGGAGGGTGCTGGGAGAGAACCCATAGGCAAAAAAGGTGGTGGCCTGGCAGGAAGTGGAGTGTTTGCTGAGCTTCTGCGGGGGGAGGGGGAGATGCTTCAAGGCCAAGGAAGCGACCCCAGGTTTCCGGAGAAGGTGCCCGTTTGTCAGAGGGCTTGGCTCTGGGCAGGGCAGGTGCAGATGGCTCACCTGTCTGAGCCAGAGCTGAGCAGGAGGGAGTCATGCAGTCAGGTGGTGGAGGGGGGATCCTGTCCTGTCCAGGGCCTCATCCGAGGCTGCTGCAGTCTTGCTTAGTCAGCCCTGGCTACTAGGTTCCCAGGAGTCACCTGTCACCTGATAGGAATGATCCAAGGCTCTGGCCAGTCAGGCCTCAGTCTTCCTTGCCAAGGCTCAGTCTCACTTCTTTTGATGGATATTGGCTTGGTCTCCAGCCTTGTGTTATTTGCATGTGCCGGGAGGGGGCTGCAAGCTGCCAGCCACTGAGGCCAGAATCCCTGCACTGTCTGGGTGCTAGGCTGGGCTTCACCATAGCGCCCACTCTCCAGTTGCAGGGGCGGGCGCAGAATCGGTCCCACCTGACCGATTACTGCGCAGGGGCCATGTTCGTGCACCAGCTGCTGAGCCATGGCTACCACTTTGATGAGCACACTTTCAGCGGCGTGACCTTCCAGAAGAAGGTGGGCGCAGGTGACAGGTCGGCGCCTGGGCTGGAGGGGCGGGACTGCCGACCGCGGACACTGTAGCCTGGGCGCTTCTGCAGGCGCGGGACACCGCGGTGGGCTGGGCGCTCGGCTACATGCTGAACCTGACCAACATGATCCCGGCCGACCCGCCGAGGCTGCGCAAGAGTTCCGAGTTCGGTTCCTGGGTGGCCCTCCTGCTGCTGTTCTCCGCCCTGCTTCTGGCCGCGCTCGTACTGCTGCTGCGCCGGGCACGCACCACCAAGTCATCCAGTGTCCACTAGGGACGTGCGAGAATCTGTCCCCGACCCGCCATCTCTGCCCCCCCCCCCCAGCCCGCCTCCTCTGGCACCTCCTCACCCTCCAGGCTGTGGCTTCGTCTCAAGGCAGCCAATCTTTCTGAGGGTGGAGGTCTGCGGCCACTTGTCCCTGTCTGCGGTGTCCTCAGCCTCTGACTGATGTCCAGGGAACTTTAATTCTGCAAATAAGGCACCCCCTCGCTTTACTTGGGGAACGTCAGCGCTTCTCCGCTGGGAGTCAGCCCAGCATCTACTTGTAAAAATTTTGTAATACATTTTTTTTTCCTAAAGTGGTGTACCATGTTTGTGGGGTGGGGCCTTTTGTTGGGGCTCCGCCCCCCAGCTGCGTAGTTCCTACAGGCTCAACCCTACCTCTCCAGTCGTTCCAGTGAACTAGGGGCCCTCTCCACTCTCCCAGCTGTGCTAGTTCGCCCTAGTGTACCGACCTCGTTGTCCTCTGTGGACTCAAAGCTGAGGCGTGTTGACCCCACTCCCAGGACCTTCGTGGTGGCCTGACACTGCTGCCTGTCTTGCTGGCCCCTCGCCTACTCCGGATGGATGAGCTAACCCTGGCCTGGAGCTGGCCTCAGGGACCCTCAAGGGGGTGGGGCCTCAGCTTAGCGGGTGGCTGCCCGTAGGCGTTGATGTGGGGAGCGGAGCAGGAGGGCGGGAGGGGCTGCCCTGACAAGGAGCCATGGTCGTCATGGACACAGCATCCGCCTGCGGATCTCCTCGGGAGACCCGGGCTCAGCCGGAAGGGACCGTTCCTGCAGCCCCCTCTCTAGCACGGCGGAAGGCGTGGTCTTGGCTGCTGCTGTCCTTTCTGGGAAGTGAGCGCAGACACCATTTCCGTCTGGTCGGTGACCCAAGGAGGAGGGGGCGTCCTTGTTGGGCTCGGGCCCGGAGAGCTGAGACGAAGCGTGGGCGGAGCTTCTCATCCTTGTTCTTCAGTGATGTGGGGCAAGGGCAGGCTGCCTGCCGGGTGCAGTGGGGTCCGCTTCCATGGACAGTCGGTGGGGTGTGAGTGGGCTCATAGGCGCGCGCCACGACGCCTAGGACGCCTGGGGCCAGCCTGTTGGGGGTCCCCGTGTGACCACCTTGGACAGCTCCCAGCTGCCGCTCGTCGGCTCTCCAGGTCATTCTTGCCCCCTGGTGGCCGCCTGAGCACAGCCGTCAGGGCGCGTTTCGCTGCGGCGTGGGGTGCCTTTCCCTGAATCTCAGCGACCTGGGGCATCTTTGCATGCACTCTGCCTCCCTGTGCACCTGCGCCTGTGTGTCTCGATGTTCCACGGATCCAAGCAGGAGGAAGGGCGGGTGTAGCTCGACAGGGAGGCAGGGAGAGCGTGCATCACGAGAACTCCCACGTCCTGCCGGCCCCAAGCCGAACTGTGGCTCCCAGAAGGTCCCGGCGGCCCAGCCGGCTGGGTCCGGACACCCCGAGACCCGGAGCCGCGGGGAAGGGAGACCTGGCTCCGGGTCGCGGAGAGGCGGGGGGAGAAGGAAGGGGCGCAGCCTGGAGGCGCAGTCCCGCCCCCGCCGCCGAGCGCGCAAGCGCACTGCCCGTGCGCGCTCCAGGCCCGCCGCGCCTCCATCCCAGGTCCTTTGCCGCAGCGTCAGCGCCTCGGCCGCGGCTGTTCCTTCGCCGCCGACGCCTCCGTTTCCTCCTTCGCCTCCTCCGACGCGGCTCCTGGATCCCCCACCCAGTCCCGGGCCGCGCGGTGCCATGCTGCCCCGGAGACGTCGCTGAAGGATGGCGACGCCCGTCCCTCCTCCCTCTCCGCCGCACCTGCGGCTGCTGCGACTGCTGCTCTCGGGATTCATCCTCGGTGCGGCCCTGCGCGGGACTGCCGCTGGCCGCCCGGGTGAGCGAGCGCGCCGCGCGGCTCTGGGCCCTCCGTCGCCGGGAGCCGCCGCCCCGCGCCCCCGCTCCCTGACAGCCTGCGGGCCCCGCCTCGGCCGGGGTGCGGCAAGCGGCGAACCTCACCTCGGGCGCTTGTCTTTGTCCCTGCGTCTCGAGGCCTCTGCCCCCGCGGCTGCGTGTGCCCCTAGGCTCTGGTTCCCTGGGCCGCCGACTCTGCCCCGCGCGCCTGTGTCTCAGCGTGGGCGCGTCTGGCCTGATGTCCGCCGACCTGGCTGCCCAGGTCTGCCCAGGCGTGAGGGAGTGCTGCGCACCAACCTCGCTTTGCTGGCATGGCGGGCTTGCAAGGTTCTTGGGCTCTTAATTAACAGCTGATACAGCGGTAGGGTCTTGTTTTGGCTCCTGTGGGGGTGCTGTGTGCTTCTAGCCTCAGACCTTTCTCTGACATCCCAGCATAGAGCAGGACCCACCAGAGTAGATTCCGAAGACTGGAGTGCCGGCTCCCAAAGGCCTTTCCTGCCTCCCAAATGGGCGCTGAGGCGTGGAACAGGGGAGGGCTGCGGGACTTGGCTCTGCGCCAGAAGCACCCCTCCCTTAAGGAGAGCGGGAGACAGCACTCACCGCCCAGGGGATTCTAACAAGAAAGGTCCATTGCGCTGATTCCGGGGCCAGACCCTTCCCCTGCCATCACTCAGTTCTGACAGCCTTTCTGGACAGATGCTGTTATCAGCCCATTTCATAGATAAGGGAGCTGAGACACAGAGTTCAGTGGTTGGTGTGTGGTGGAGCTGGGTGGCTAGCCTGGCCCATCTAGTTTTGCTTGTGAGCCTCTGATGAAGCCAGTGCCTCTTGGTGAGAAGTCGGAATGACCAGGCTGAGGGTGGTTGAATAGTTACTGCGGAGACTGGCCAGAGGGGGCCACCAGCTCGCACAGCCTGTTAGTTGCTAAGCTCAGCTCCAGGCAGTGATGGTGGTGCTGCCCAGAGCCTGCACAGCTGTGGAGCCAGTGTCTACCCACAACAAGGGATGGGATGCCAGCCTCTTCCAGCTGCTGTTGCTCCTGGACCCGCCTTCTCCACCCCAGTAGGCTAAAAGGGCTGCTTTTCTGAGTAAACCCACGGCCGATATCCAGGGCCAGAGAGTTAGGAGGACGGTGTCCAGAACCCCAACCTAGTTTGTGCATTGGGCCCCTGCTCTCAGCCTGCTGGGTTCTGGATTGATTATCTGTGCCGGGGCAGGGGTAGCCCTGCTCCCTGGGTGCCTAGCCAGTGGGTGGTGTCCAGACGGACCTGCGGGCTCAAGGTTACTGTTTAACCAGCCCCAGGCGCCAACCAGACTCTGGTGCTTGATGCCAGTGGTGGTGGATGAGGATGCCTGCACCCCCACTGGCTGTGGGGGCTGCACTTCTCCCGAAGGGATGCCTACAGCCTAAGCCAGGGTGTCAGGTTACCAAGGAAACCAAATGGAGCAGCCAAGGTCTGGAGGACGCCAGAGTTCCCTCATTGTCCACGTCACCCTGGGCCTGTAGTGGGCGTAGGGGCAGCGCTAGGAACTCTGAGAGGTACCCCCAGCCTCAGCGGTTTCACGGCCCTCCTGTCCGCTGCTCTGGTTCATGCTGGGACATCAGGAAGCCAGACTCCCAGAACTTTCTGCATCAAGGGGGGGCAGAGAAATGAGGTGGGGGCACTGCACACCCCCTGTATCAAGGCGGGTTCACCTTTAAAATACTGAGGTACCCCCATTTGCAGCACCGTCTCTGGAAACCAGTTGGTCGAGAGTCCACTGTGGCAGGCCCAGAGCTGAACGGTTGGATGTGCTGAAGAGTCCAGAGGGAGGTTGTCCATCAGCCTGTGTGCTTCCAGCACACTGGGGCCATGGCCCCGTCACCACAGTTTGGGCCCCCTCCTCAAAGTGGGAAGCTCTGGCAGTCCCGTTCTACATCTCCTTAGCCTCTGGGGGTCTTTGTTCTGTGAGAACAAGCCAGAGAGGGGACCTGCAGCTCTCAGGCCTCAAGGGTTGTAGGATGGAGTGGTGAGGACTTGGTAAGCCCGATGCCATGGTAGAGGTATGGGGTGCCCAACATCCTTTGCTGTTCCCAGGCCCCACGCACTAGGCTCTCAGGCTGCAGGAGGGTACGGGGTACTTGGGGCTGCTGCCCGGTACAGAGGAGCCCAGGACAGTCAGCAGAGCAGCAGCTGGACAGGCCTGGGAGGTGGGCTCCAGGGAATGGGCGGGACCGGCAGTCCTGATAAGTCAGGATTGTTTGTCTTCCTGGTTCTATCAGCAGCTGGGCGGAAGGGCCACCCACAACAATGGCTGCAGCCAGGCTGGACCTGGTTTCCACACAGGAAACCCTTGCAGGGCTGTGACCTGTCTGCCCTGCCTCTTCCTAGATGCAGCCGTCTGCCCGGGGAGCCTGGACTGTGCCCTGCGGAGACGGACACGGTGCCCTCCAGGCGCACACGTCTGCGGGCCCTGCCTTCAGCCCTTCCAGGAGGATCAGCAAGGACTCTGCGTGCCCAGGACACGCCGGCCCCCAGGTACACTGCCCCTCCCGAAGCCCAGCTGCCTCTGGCCAGCACTCAGGGCTGTGAAGATGAACCCCAGGCCCCTGCGTAGGGGTGCTCAATGCAGCAGAGGATCTCAAATCTCTTGCCCTCCTAGGGCAACAGGTTTCCAGTGGGAAGGGTGGGGATGCTGCGGAGGTGGGAGGGTCCCAGGCTGCATGGATGCCCCCTGGGGCACCTCTCCCTGTCCGCTGGGTGACAAGCATGGGAGAGTAGCTGCTGAGCCCTGGGCAGTGTCGCCCTGAGCTGGAGTCTGCACTCTGGGCCGAGTGCACGGATGGCGTGCCGTCCAGCAGCCCCACGGTCACTGTCTCTGTTCCCTGGTTGTCCAGGAGCCTCTCTCTAGGCTATGGGCCCTTTGGCTACAGCATGTGGTGCCTACCGCCTCAACAGCCTAGGGATGGGGTGAGCCGAGCTGGAGCCCAGGTGGCTGGACTTACTTCTGGGAGTCATTGACCTCTGGGCCAGAGATGTTCCAGAGTGGGGACCCTGCGTGCCTGTTTAGGGGGTAGGGAGAGGGGTTCCTTATGAGGACCTGTTCCTCATGGATAAAGGATCAGGGAGAGGGCATCTCCTCAGCCCCTTCTCTCCTGCCCTGCCCCCATCTTCCCTGGGAAGGGATGCTGCTGTTCTTGTACGACCCACACCGTCACCATGGTAACTGGGTGAGGGCTGTAGGCTGGTACCAGGTCTCTGGCAAGAGCTGGCCCCAGGCCTAGGGGCTGCTTCCTAGATGTGTCCCCTCAGTCCTGGGAGGCCACCCAGCCTGATGGCCCCTGGGCCCCTAGGGGGAGGCTCCTTGCAGGCCAGACTGGAAGATGAGATCGACATCCTAGCCCAGGAGCTAGCTCGGCAGGAGGCAGGACACACCTTCCAGGACCAGCCCCAGGCCGCAGCCCCACAGTCCCTGGAGCCTGGTGAGATGTGGCCTTTCCCAGCTCACCCTCAGCCCGAGACGTTGGTCTGTACTCTTTCTAACCTGTCTCCTCTCTCTCCATAGCAGCCGTTCTGGGGCTCTCTGAGCGGGGCCAAGGACAGGGGCTGGGCCTCCCCTTCCTCCGTGGAGCCCCTTCGCCCTCACCCCACACCTCCCTGGGTGTCCCAGTGTCAGAGGGACCTGTACACGTGTCCCCCCTGGAGCCCCACAGCAGGCGTGGGGATGGCCTCATCCTCGGTGAGTCCTGGTGGGTGGAGCCCAGTGAGACACCACTGAGACCTGGTGTCCTCAGGTCCCCTCATTGCCCCTGTCCCCGCAGTGCTGATCGTGGCCTGCTCGCTGGCTGGCATGACCGCCCTCACCATGGCTGCCCTCTGCTGGTGCAGGTGAGCGAATATGGGCAGTGGGCACATAGGGCAAACACTGTGGTCTCACAGCGTCTGTCCCACCTGGTCAACCCGTCCCATCCCGCAGGCTGCAGCGAGAAATTCACCTGAGCCGGAAGACCGACTACTCGCAGAAGGGGCCTTGCTCCCCCGCTGCACCCCGGATCTCGGTGTGTCACCCCGCCCCCTCCTGCCCCTTCCTCCCACCTTCGCCTCGCCCACAGCCATGTAACCTGCCCGCTTGTCCGCAGCCTGGCGACCAGAGGCTGGCACACAGCGCCGAAATGTACCACTATCAGCACCAGAGGCAGCAGATGCTCTGCCTGGAGCGGTGAGTGGCCCTAGACTCACCAGCTGCCCAACTCAGGGCCTTAGGTAGTGCGCCAGCACCTGGCCGTACACCCCGGGGCCACAGTGCGCCCGGTACTTCCCGTGCTGGCCAGACGGATCTTGGGGAGGCACCCCAGGCAGAGACCCCACTCCTCCTCTCCTGCCCTTGTCCAGGCATAAAGAACCACCCAAGGACCTGGACTCAGCCCCCTCGGATGAGGAGAATGAAGATGGAGACTTCACAGTATACGAGTGCCCGGGCCTGGCACCGGTGAGCGCCACTGGGTGGGTGGAGGTGGGGTGAGGTCCCACTTGCTTGCCTGACACCCTGCTTCTGCAGACTGGGGAGATGGAAGTGCGGAACCCACTGTTCCATGACTCTGCGCTGCCTGCACCCCCGCTGGTCTCCTGCTCACCACCCCCGCTGCAGTGATCCAGGGCGTGATGACCACCCACAGCCGTGGGGTGGGGAACGGTCCCAGAATTTCCAGCGGAAAGAACACACAAGGCCGTGCCCCATGCTCTCCTTTGAGTGAGGGGTCACTGGCCACATATCTGGCCCGGTGCAGGGGACACCTCTGCCCTCAGCTGTACTTCTCTGCTCAGGACCCGGACCCAGGCTGCCCCGGCAGGGCAGTGAGAGCCCTCAAGACCACATTCCAGTCTGGGTTGGGTCTTTTGTAGACAAAAGCTGATTATAAAGCCCATTTCAAACCCAAGAGCTGTGTGTCACTTCCTGGAGTGCTAGACAGTTCGTTCTCCCATTGGGAGACCTTGTGGGTGGACAGTGAGGGGCAGGGACCTCCCACAGCATCTGTCCAGTCTGAAGAATACCCTCACACAGGGCTAGGGAGTTCCAAGGCCACCCATTCTCTATCTGTGCAGACCTACTTGTGTGCAACCTTCAAGTGCCAAGGGACAGGGCAGGACCACGACCAGGCCAGCTGAGCCCACGGGTCCCCTGGAGCCTTGTCCTGTATGGTAGGGAGTGCAACGCTGCTCTCCCCCTGCACCCCCACACCTCCCCATGCCCTGGAGGGGACAGCAGGAACAGGGCTTGGAATGCATGGGTTTGCCACAGAGCTGGACTCCTGCGGGCGGTCAGGGTCTGCCAGGTAGAGGGACTAAGATGCTGGCTGTGCACAGGTGGCCAGAGCAGCTGGTGAGGTCTCAGACAAAGAAGAGGTTGAAAGGGTCTTTTGGTCCTGCAGCTGCGCGGCCCCACGCTACACAGGTTCAACCTTTGGAAGCTGAGAGGAGGCACAAGGCCTGGTAAGGACAAAGGGCAGAGGCCAAACCAGGAGCCAGTGCAGACTACAGGCCCAGCAGCCCATGTCTCCCAGCAGAGGGCAGAGTCACGCTGTCCTCTACAAAGACGAGCAGAGAGGGGAACGCCTGGCTCAGGCCGCAAGGCACTTGAGTAGAACCCTGGTCCCTCCTGTGGTACGCACACATGCACCTTGACTGCCAGGCTGCACTGGACACTTGAGACTTCTGGTTCACAGCCATTCCAGCTGGCTCCACCCTGAGAAAGATTGGAAGGTGGCTTCTGGTATGGGGGTCTAACATGCCAGGTTACTAAACTGAAGGTTAACAGTTCAGATCCCCTCAGGAGACATCTCCTACAAAAGCGTACAGCTGGACGGACACCTGGCAGAGTTGCTCTGGGTTGGGACGATTGTAGCTTTGGCGCATACTGGCAGCTCCGCCTGTCCTCAGAACCAGGGTGTGCTCCAGTCCTGCTGGTCCTCAGCATGTCATGTCATCTGAGGTCCCCAAGGTCCCTGCTGACCTCAGCTAAACCCCCTGGACAGGTACCTGGGGTCCCCCAAGGGTAGAGTTTGCCATATTTTAGCTCTCAGCCTAGGCACCCACACTTGGGTAGCACCTTACTGATCTGACCTGGGTGTTGAGGGCTGACCTTGTCTTCGCCACCTGCAAGGGTCCCAGACCTGCTGCTAAGACTTGGTACCCACTCCCCAAGGCGCTGCAATGAGAGGAGGAGCTGGGGGCTACATCTGGGAAGGGGGGGCAGTGGTCTGAAATCCTCATGAGGTGTAGCTGCCCAGCCCCCAGGCTAACCAGATCCCCACTCCCCAGCTTCCGTCAGCTCCCATGTGTGGAGGAACACCAAGCCAAAAGTTGGGGTGCTCTGAAGATGTAACCAGTCCCTGCCCTTGTGTCACCACTATTCTACTACCTGCAACCTTGTGTCTTTCACTGCTGTATGGTCAGAGGCAACCATTGGCCCCACTCCAGACCCTACCGGGAGGGACCCCCCCCCTCAGGGAGAGACCCTGGGGCCACTACTAAGCAGGTCTCTCAGCTTGGGGCACCCACTCAAAGAAGCCACAGACCTGGGTGAGACCCTTCGACAGTGTGTGCCTTGTTCCCTCAACAAATCCCTAAGAAGTGAGATCACCCCCAGGATACAACCCCCACAGCACTTCACACTACCCTCCCCTCATCCTGGCTTCAAAGGCGCCCCCCACCGGGAGCAGAGAGGTCTAAGTCAGACCCCCAGTAGCCAGCAGTGAGGCACAGAAGGGTCCCCCAGCCCCGAAGAGGTATGATCTGAACTGCAGTGGGCTGGAAGTGAGAAGAGGGAGCTGGGCCAGCTTTTGGGCTGTGTGGTTCTGTCCAGGACAGGGGTGTCTGTGTCTGCTGTCACTGAGTCAAGGGCCTGCTCTGCCATGTGGCTCCTGGCACTGCTCCTGTGCTGCCCTCACCCCCACATCCCTTCAGGGCCCAGTACTATGGCCTTACTGCTCCACTGTGCACCACTCCCACCCCAGGTCAGTCCAGCAGCGTGCCAGTCCCCCCCACCTCACCTCTCTAAGGCTCCCATCTCTGCTGCCTCCAGCAAAGCAGGCCACTGGCTTTGGGCACAGCCAGCGGGGGGCCTGGATACTCCCCGAGTGGCACAGAGCACCCTCACCACCTCTGCCAGGCGTGCGGCCGTAGCCCGGTGGCCTGACCCTGTCTGCACTGGGCCTCCTGTGCCCAAGCCTCTTTGTTGGTGCCATGTGGGGGACAGGGGGCGCCATGCAGGGGAATAGAGGTGCTGGACAGGGGACGCTGTGACCACAGGGCCAAACAGCCTCACTGCCCTGCAACACTCATAGTCTCTGAGTGTAGCCACACCTGCAGCTGGGGACCTGGGGGGCTGAGGGGGCGGGGGAGTCCCATCTCTGCCTTTGGCTTGTGCAGTCTCACTCCGTCCTCACTCTGATCCACTTCTGGCCTTCAAACCCCTCATTTCCCACTATGGGGTTTCCAGGACCTAGAGACCGGCGTGTCACTAAACTGGTAGTAGAGCCAGGACGTGGTGAGGAGCCTGTGGGTACGGGTGGGGCCTGTGGCAAGGCCCTGCCAACTGGCATCGAAAACAGGAAGGATGGCCAGGTCCCAGGCGGCTGCAGTAGGATCTTGTCCTTCCTGCACCCGCCCCGCCCACACTGGGGAAGAGGTGAGGGCTGCAAAGGCTCAAAGTGGGGGTGTGGCCCCCCTGGGGGTACTCTCCTAGGAAGTGATATGTGGTGAACCCAGCCACCCCTTTGGACACTCCCTGAGCCAGGGCCCTCTGTGGGGAGGGGCTCGGACAACTCGGGTGGGTTCTGCTCCACTGACCTCCCTGCCCCCAGGTGACCACCCTTCTCTCTCCCAGCCTCCCCTCCATACCTGAGTGTGCACTGCCCGCTCCCCAGACCCTGCTGTGCTCATGGTGGCCGGCAACATGAGTCGGTCAGTGGCCAGGGCAGGGCAGAGCGTGAGAGGGCTTGCTGATGGTGATCTGGCCCGCAGCTCCACCTTCCTGGGACCTGGTCTGGGGCCTCCAGGCCGCACGGTGGGGGAGATCCCGTGGAGTGGGGGCCGCTGCTGGCGTCCTCTCATGTGAGAGGGTGCAACCAGAGCGGGGGCCTGATGTGCAGCTGCTCAGAGGGTGGTCCTACAGACCCCCAGCCTGCTTCCAGCCCTGAGGGACCAAAGGAGAAGTGGGGGAGGGAAGCTGGACTTCAGGTCCTTCCTCTTCCTGATTGGGCGCCAGCCCCCTGCCCGCCTGCGTCAGGGACAAACTGACTCCTTCCCGTCCCCGCCTGGAAAGCCCCCACCTTGCCCAGGCCCCTGTGGGCCAGAGGAAGTGACCCTGAGACCCCAGAGCAGTATTGAGCCCCCTGCTGGCCGAAGCAGTGGGAAGCCTGGCCAGGACCTGGGTCAGCCTGAGGCAGTACCTTCAGAACAGTGTGGCCCCCACTGGGACCTGGTGTCCATCTGTCTTCTGGCGTGTGTCCTGTGTGGAGACTGGGGTGCGAGGCCCTTTCTAGGAGTGCAGGGTGAGGGTGGTGCTCCTAGGGGAGACTCAGAAGAACCTAGCGTGGGCAGTAGAGGCAAGGACCGGACATCTGCACACGAGGAAAGTGGCCGAGGTGAGCAGGGAAGGGGTGAGGCCATGGTGGGTGCTGAGGCAGCACCAGCTCTCTTGGAGTGTTCCCGAGGCTGCTTCCCTGATGAGCGTGGCCTTGCACCTGCCTTGGGGGAGATCCACATGGGTCCTCAGGGGTCCAGCAGCCAGAGTCGGGGCTGGGAGGTGGTGATGCCAGCGGCTTCCCGCCTCCAGCCCACAGGGCGGGGCAGCAGGCGGCGGGAAGGTGGCCCCTTCGCCTCTCAGCGCTTGCTCAGCGCGTGGGCACAGCTGTGATTTCTGGTGTTGCAGCCTGGTGCTGACTTCTGAGGTGACTGGTTTGGGAAGGCCGGCTGGGGGGCGGTGATGCGATGCCTGTGAGTGCCTTGGCGGGGGGAGGAGTGGGCTGAGGCTTGGTGGTGCACATGGACCCACCCTGGGGTGACAGCTTCTCCCCCTTTCCCTGCCACAGGTGCTGGCCGGGTGGAGGATGCGGGCTTGGTGGGGCATGGTGGGGACAGCTCTGCTCTCGGCCCTCTGGATCCTGTGGCCCCCCTGGCCGGCTCGTGGTGGGAGCCCAGAGCCCCAGCCCACACTCACCATCCTCATCTGGCACTGGCCCTTTGCTGAGAGGCCCCCAGAACTGCATAGTAGCAGCTGTGCCCTCTTCGGTGCCGCCCACTGCCGCCTGAGCACCAACCGCAGCCTGCTGACCAGCGCCGACGTGGTGGTCTTCCATCACCGGGAGCTGCAGATGCGCCGGGCCCACCTGCCCCTGGACAGGCGGCCGCATGGCCAGCCCTGGGTCTGGGCCTCCATGGAGTCCCCCAGTCACACGCGCGGCCTCAGCCGCTTGCGTGGCATCTTCAACTGGGTGCTGAGCTACCGTCGCGACTCGGACATCTTCGTGCCCTATGGCCGCCTGGAGCCCCACACGGGGCCTCTGCCTTCACCACCGCCCCCCAAGAGAAGGGTGGCCATCTGGGTGGTCAGCAACTTCCAGGAACGGCAGCGGCGGGTGCGGCTCTACCGGCAGCTGGCCCCTCACCTGCATGTGGATGTGTTTGGCCGTGCCACCCGGCGGCCGCTCTGCCCAGGCTGCCTGCTGCCCACCGTGGCCCGCTACCGCTTCTACCTGGCCTTCGAGAACTCCCAGCACCGTGACTATATCACTGAGAAGTTCTGGCGCAACGCGTTGGCGGCCGGTGTTGTGCCTGTGGTGCTGGGGCCCCCGCGGGTCAATTATGAGGCCTTCGTGCCCGCAGATGCCTTCGTGCATGTGGACGACTTTGGCTCGGCCCGCGAGCTGGCCGGCTTCCTGGCTGGCATGAACGAGAGCTGCTACCAGCGCTTCTTTGCCTGGCGGGAGAGGCTGCGCGTGCACCTGCTGAGCGACTGGACCGAGCGCTTCTGCTCCATCTGCACCCGCTACCCTCACCTGCCGCGTGGCCAGGTCTATGAGGACCTGGAGGGCTGGTTCCAGGTCTGAGCTCAGGAGCCTGGCGAGGGGTGCCTGGGGTCAGAGGCCGGGAGGGAGGGGGGTCACGGCACACTGCGCTGCGGAAGCTGCCTGGAGGAGGAGTCTGGTGGCGCTGGACAGGCATCTGTAGAGGGGGGAGGTGAGAGCAGGCGGATGGCGTTGGGCCTGGCACAACACTGCACTGTCCTCTGAGAATTTTGAGTGGTGTCCCTGGCTGTCATGGGTGGGGAAGGGAGAATGACCCAAGGCAGTGCCTTAGAACTGGCGGCCTGTGGGCTGTGGGGGGACAAAGTTCAGATGCCCTGGTCCAGTGAGGTGAGCACCAGGCCCTGTCCACAGCGGCCACCCTGCACGGTCATGTGTGGGCTTGGGGCAGGGGTAAATGGCCACTGCGTCCTGTGGGCAGGGACTGAACCAGTAAAGTGGAAACATTGAAGTCGGCTGTGTCCAGTCTGTGCAGAATGCCCCCGCTGCCCTTGCTCAAACCCCTAGGCGTGTGGCCCTGCCACCAGCCCCCTCTCCTCGGCTTCCCATTGCTCCCTCCTCCACCCTGTCCCGTGCCCACAGAGCACTTCTCAGTCCCTAACAGCACACAAGGGATGAGTTAGGCAGTCAGCTCCTGGCACAGGGGAGCCCAGCTTGGGTCAAAGGGGCCCAGGGCCACAGGCCCTGCCAGGAGGCCCTGGGCCTGGCTGTGACTTGATGTCTTCCTCTGCCTTCTTGTGAGTCGGGGCAGGAGGACAGTGAGGGAGGCAGCAAGGGACAGTGTCTGGTCAGGGCTCCCTTACTATGGTCTAGGCGACAGAGTCCAAGGGTCATGGTGTCCCCAGAGTGATGCTGGCAGAAGTAAGGGCACCCTTTAGACCCCACAGACCATGTTCCAGGTAGGGCAGGACTCTTACTGAGGGCAGTGTGGGCACTGGAGCTGTCCCTGCCCCAGGTGGGCTGGGGGGTATAGCCGTTAAGGCAGGAAGCCGTGGTTGGTGGCATCAGTCCCTCCCCTCCCCCAGTGGCAGTGGTTTGTATTAAGGCTGCCAGTCATTTCCTGCTCTTGACCCAGCCCCGTATGCCAACCAAGAAGTGTCACGAGGCTGGAGCTGGGATGGGGGGGCGCATGGGTAGGTCCTTTGGCTGCAAAGCAGGCTGGGTGGAGTCGGGGTCTGCACACCTTAAGTGCACTCTTGCTCTGTCCCAGAAACTAGACACCACATCCCACCACAGTGGGGGGGGGGGGGGGGGGGGGGGGGGGGAGCGGTCTTCATGGCTGAGAGCCTGGTTGAGCCTCTGCTGCCCTCTGTGGGTCAGACTGGAGTCAGCCGTGACCCTGCCCAGCCCCTCTGCCTGACCTGGGGCTGAGGTGGGCCCCAGTGTCACCATGTAGGTGGGAGGAACTTGACCCTAGCCTCTACACTCGCCCCGGAGGGGTGGGGGCGGGCAGGAAGATGGAGTCCCCGCAGAGGGCATCTCAGTGTCCCCACGCCTGTCTGCTTCCCTGCAGGAGCAGTTTGGGAACTAGTAGGCCTTCCTGGCCTCTCACTGAGCAGCCTCTCCTCCTAGAGCTCAGCCAGCCATTCTGCTGGCCAGAAGAGGAAACACTGTCACCATTTGTCTCACTCACAAGTGCCAGGGACACTTAGAAGGGGTCTGGGAGGTGGAGGTTCCTTTCTGACAAACTTCCCAAAACCTTCAACCACATGCTTGTTTGAGGATATGGTCGGGTATGAGCATTTTGTCCACTCTGCACCCTGATGGCCATCTTGAGGTGGATCTCCTGCAACATTATGCTCCTGGAGACGAAGAGCTCCTGGAGGCCTGGTGCTCCTGGGGCCACAGTGCTCCTGGGCAGATAGTGCTCCTGGAGGC